AAATTACAAGGATAAGTGAATAAATTGGCATGTATCTGGCCAGAGAAAATATATCCACAAATGAGCAAAATCAGACAAGATTTCAACTTTTTTCCACAACTGTACATGCCAAAATATAACGATGCTGTGATTACAAGATTTTGAAGGGAAAATCTATAAACCAAGAATATTGTACTCATTGCTTTTCATCTGTTAAAGCAATAGAAGCACATTTTTACACAAAGTCAGCTTCCAAAAATGTACTTCCGATGCACAGAAATTCTCCTGAGGTATCACTTTCCATGGTACTTACCTAATGCCAGCACTTGGGAGGCTGAGGCAGGAGGATTAATAAGTTCAGGTCCTGCCTGAGCATAAGACCTTGTTCCAAAAAAAAGAGAATAAAATAAAAAAATTACGGGCTAGGGATGTAGTGTAAAGACCCTGAGTTCAAACTCTAGCATCAATAAACAAACAAAAAAGTAAACACAATTTTGTGTTTTTATCTTAGTTTTAATTTAAGAAAAACACCAGATTTTTCTAAAGTCACATTTTATCTTAGCTGCTTGTCTCCAATGAGTATGTGCCCCCAGGTAGATGAACAGGTTACCTGAGAACAAAACGTGGTTTCTATTACTTTATGTGCAGTTACTCTGTGAATAGGTTCTTCTGAATTCTCTGAGGAACAGGTACCAAGTTGGAATTTGGCAGCAAGGGATGAACTGAGGAAAGGACCATGAAAGGTAAAGGGGGACGGGACAACCGAAGGCAGAGAGAACCTGCAGACCGCACTGCAGTCTGACATCTGCGACGGGAGGGTAGGAAGGAAGGAGAGCTGAGGAGGAAGAATTCAAGACGACAGTGCCGTTCTGGGAAAGCCTTGGCTGGGCACACAGGGCTTCCCTGAACAGAGCTATAGAGGTTTCCCCTGGGGCAGGAAACAAACACTTCCACTCCAGTACCTCTGTTCTAGGTGCCGGTTGTCAGCAGCCCAGCAAGTCCACAGCTTCAGCACCAATGCCACGGCTGTGGCAGCTGCCATGAATTCAAGGCCAACCTGAACTACATAGCAGAAGCCTGGATCAAAAAACAAAAGCAAACAAACAAAAAGTCTAATTAATTGTTGTAAATATAAATGTATGTGTCAGCAATAATTCTTAACAATTCTAAAACCTTTAAAATGAACGCAGATACTACAATGGAGATAGATGGGAAATGTCAAAGAAACTCAACGTAAAACTCCAGGGGGCAGAAGCAAATGAAAATATAAGTTTTTAAGTGCTATGATTAATTTTCACAGAGAAATAATAGGAAATACTGTGTCTGTAATAGGGTATAATTTTAAAAAGAATAGGGAAAGCTCTTTGAAATTAAAAAAATAAAAAAAGAATTAAAAAGTCAATAGAAGGGTTGAATAGAGTTAATGAAATCTCCCAAAAAGTAGATTCAAAAGAAAAGATGGAAAGTAGTAGACATATGCATGTATTGAAAAGCTACAATGGGGTAGGGGATCTAGCTCAGTGGTTTCGCCACCTGCTGCACAAACGCAAGGACCGGAGTTCGATCCCCGGTACAAAAACAACAACAAAAAAAGCTACAATGAAGGCCAATATTCTGTATAATTGAAATACCCTAATAAAAATATATTTAGAGTAAAAAAGATAAAATAAAAAATAAAGATAATTGAGAAAATTCAATGTGTGACTAATAGGAATTCTAAAGCTAGAGAACGTAGAAAACATAGGGTTGAAATAGCCAAAGATGTAAGAAAAAAAAACCATTTCCAGAACTGCCAGATACCAATCTCTAGATTAAATTGCCCATGAAGGAAATGCAGAAAATATGGACACTCAGGCTATCACAGTGAAATTTCAGAACAGCAGAATGGAAGATATCCTGAGATCTTCCAAAAAGCAAAACCAGGCCACCTGGTAAGCTAAGATATCAGAACTAGAGTAAGAGTGGTATCAGAGTGTGCCAGAAAGAGTAACACTGGAGAAGGGGAAAAAATGAAACAAGTTCCTTTTAATGTGAAAAAAGCATAATTTTTACCCTATAATTCTCTGCCCAGTTCTTGTTTCCTTTCATTTCCTTCTTTGTCATTTTCTGTCCCTGGCTGTTGTACTGTGTTTCCGTCTAAGGGTTTAAGAAGTGTTAAGGGTTATTGCTGAAGTTTATGTCTTGATATACATTTAAAGCAATTATATACTTTACTCCATTTCACCATTTTCAATTCCGCTGCCACTCCTTTAGCTATGATTTACTTCTTTGTTGGTAGGATGAAAATAGACTAATGATATTTTCAAAGATGCCAAAACTCAAAAAATTTAGCCTCCTGCATCCTTTCTCAGGAAGCTTTCATAAGAGAATATGCTCTACTACAACAAAGAAATAAATTTGCATTTAATAGTGCTCCTAAAAACAAAACAAAACCCCAAACTGATCACCCAGTGACCTATGACTACGAATGATTGAAGCCAAACTTGGAAAATAGACCTTATTATTCCTAGCCTATTGCTGTTCCAGCTATTTTTGAGATAATAGAAATTGGTACCAGCATTAGTCCCTGCCTCCACCATCTGGCCATCCAGGCATCACTCTTGACTACAGAGGTAGTCATGGAATTCTTGGTCCAGTGCTCTGCTCTCCCCAGATTGCCACCCACCTATGAGTTGACATCTATTGGTCAGCTCCATTCACACAGTGCTGCTGCTGCCTTTCTGTGAATAGGTTGTGCTATACCTGTGGTATACTGAAGCATGCAAAATAGTCCTCCCTAATGTTTGTTTGTTGGTTGGTTGGTGCTGTTGGGGATTGAATGCAGGGCCTCACTCATGCTAGTCAAGCAATCTACCACTGAGCAACATCACCACCCCCAATCCCTAATTAATTTGACCTGTGAACTGGGAGAGACCAAGGGCCATGGCATGTTACTAGCCACCTTATCTCCAGGCTGCTGTCCTAGTTTGTGGTGACACTTAGTAAACATTTACTAGACATTTAAATTGTGGACATTCTTTTGATCACATACATTTATTTACTCATTATGTTTCCATTCACTTAAATTGTTTTTTAGCATGTAGGCTTATGAATTCTAATATTCTGACTAGAAGATGGAAGGTTTTGGTCAAGAAAATGAATGTAGATAATATTATAGAACTTTTAGTGGATGAGAGCAAACTCCTCAACTGAGCCATGTATTCGTGCCTTCTTTGTTTCCCCAAAGGACAGAGCCTGTCTTTCAAAGTACAAAAAGAAGAAATAGCAGGTTCTAGTTTCATTCCTATGAGGGTGGAGCTATGATGGGGAAGATGACCTGTCTCTAAACAGGGTAACTATCAAGCCTCTGGCTGCTTTGTAGCTTCTGAAGGGGTTTGGGGGATGGGCATACAGGGAGTGGATTCTGAGCTAGAATGGCCTAGAAGGTGGGATATTTCTCCCTTGTAGACTTTTTTTAAGTCTTCCTCAAACCACTTGTCCACAGACTTATATTCTTGGCAGTTTCCTTTAACTGTTTTGGGAAAATATCTAGAAAGGGAATAGCTGGGTTGATTGGAATTTCTATTTTTAGTTTTTTGAAAACCGATATTGATTTCTATAGTGGTTGTACTAGTTTATAATCCCACCAACATTGTAGAAGGGTTCCTTTTCCCCTGCAGCCTCACCAGCATTTGTGTTGTTCAGTTTATGGTGATAGCTATTCTTTCTAGAGTAATATGGAATCTCAGTGTTGTTTTAATTTCTTTAATGGCCACCAAAGTTAAACATTTTTGCATCTATTTATTGGCTATTTGTACTTCCCAGAAGAGTCTATTGATTTCTGTTGCCCTTATTTTCATTGGGTCTTTCAGAGGCATCTGATTTTTTTAGTTCTTTATGTATTCTAGATATTAGTCCTCTGTCCAAGGAGTAGGTAGCAAAATTTTACTCCCATTTTGTACGTTGTCTCTTCACTCTGTTGGCTGTTGCCTTTGCTGTGCAGAAGCTTTTAAATATGATAGTACCCCATTTGTTGATTCTTGATATTATTTCTTGTGCAATTGGGGTTTGTCCAGAAAATCCTTGCCTATATCTGTATCTTCAAAAGTTTTACCTATTTTATCTTCCAGCAGATTGTTTTCGTTTTATTATTTAGATCTTTGATCCATTAATTTGATTTTATTTTACTCCATGTGAGAGATAGGAGTCTAGATTCAATCTCCTGCATGTGTATAGCCAGTTTTTCTAGCACTATTGTTACAGAGGCTATCTTTTCTCTCATGTATGTTTTTTGCCCCCTTGTCAAAGATCAGATGGTTGAATATGCCTGGGATTGGGAAAGCACCACAAATTTAATATCTTCTCAATAGAGCTAAAATTCAACCTAGATACTGAAGTTTGGTACTGAGGATTAATACCACTTAGCCCAGTGTTCTCAGCCCTGGAGGCACATTAGAATAATCTGAGATTTAAACAAAATAAAACAAAAAACAATGCCTGGGCCCACCCCAAACCAATTAAATCAGAAGAATCTTGAAGCTAAAGTTTGATACTGAGGATTAATGTCACTTTGCACAATATTCTCAACCCTGGAGGCATATTACAATAATCTGGGACTTTGAAAAAAAAAAAAAAAAAAGCTGAGCCCAGCCCAAACCAATTATATCAGAATCTTCAGGTCTGCAGACTGGGTATTGGAACACTCTCCAGCTGATTCTACTCTCCATTAATCTAATAGAGAGGAATGTGGAGTTACGTAGGGGATCTTGCTATAAAAGTGTGGTCCACAGATCAGCATCACCTGGAAGCTTGGTAGAACTATAGCTTCTGAAGCTCCACCGTAGACACACTGGATTAGAATCTGCTCTTTAGCAAGACACTCAGAGCATTTGAAGGCACTTTAAATTTTGAGGATCACTGATAAAAGGAAAAATTGTGCAAAATGTATCAGCTGTGACCTGCTAAAATGCCCCATGATAGTTGACTGTTGTGTCAATTTAAGAAATGCCTGACTGATTAGATTTGCATAGTTCTGGGTGTGGCTGAATGGATTTACTGGAGAGAAGATCTACCCTTGGTGTGAGTGCCACCAACCAATAGGGGTGTAGCCTGAAAGGAATAAAAAGGGGGAAGGACAAAGGAACTTTCTCTTTTGTTTCTTTGGAGGAGCTCCAGTTTTCATCTTCACCTTGGACATCTGTCTCCTGGCTTCCAGAACAGACTCTTCAGCTTCCTGATACAGACCTGCATGGGCCTCTATTGTGAGCTCCAGGCCTTCAACTTTTGACTGGATCCTTGGATCTCCAGTAGGCTGTCTGACCCTTTGCACTCTTCCACACCTGACTCTGCAAATGGCCATTGTAAGCCTACCATATGTATGAGAAAATCAGAAAACTAGAAGAGATCTTAGTTGCTTCATTCAGAGATACAAATCTCCCTACAAGAATCAGGTAGTACAGGGAAAGAGTCAGGCAGGCTTACCAGCCCAACAGATAACAAGGGCCTTAGACTCTAAAAGACATAGGAAAAAGCAAGGACTAGGAGGACTGAGGGAAGAGCACATAGACCCACTCTAGAGGGAATCTGAATTGGCTCCAGCTGCAATTCTGCTGTAGCTATGAATTGGCCCTGCCTGCTTTTGAAATTTCCTGTTTTTTAAACGCTGGCAACCAATACATGGTTGTCAATTTTTTCTATAGGTATGATGGCTGATCATCACCTTAACTGGTTTAAAGGATACCTAGATAACTGGTGAAGCATTATTTTTAGGTATGTCTGTGGAGGTGTTTTTAGAGGAGGTTCATTTGAATAAGTGGCCTCAGTAAGAACATCTGCTCTCGCTCAATATGAGCAGGCAACAGTCCATCTGTTGAGGACCTAGATAGAACAAAAAGGCAGTGACAAGGTGAATTTCCTCTCTCTGTGGGAGCTAGCACATCCATTTTCTCCTGTGCTTCATGCCGTTCAGACTGAGACTTGCATCCACAGTCCCATAGGGTCCCAGGCCTTCTGCCTCAGACTGAGGCTTACTTACACTGTTAGCTTTCTTCACTTTCAGGTCTTTGGACTCTGACTGAGTTATATCACCAACTTCTCTGTTTCTGCATCTCACAGATGGACTATGATGGGACTTTTCAGCCTCTACAAGCAGGTGAGTCGATTTACATGCCTTTTAGTTATCTATATGTATCCCGTTGGTTCTGTTTCTCTGGAAAACTTTGACTAATAGGCAAAACAACACAGTATAGAGCAGATTTTAGCTGCAAAAGACCACTCATCTGAAACAACCTTCATACTACCGAAAAAGATTTTGGTTTTCTTGACCTTGAGTCACAGGATAGAGTGCCTCCAGTTTAAGTAGCATTTTAATTTCCCGCTTTTACCTTAGGTAACAGGGCTTTGCTGTCAGAGAACTCTGGAGCTACCACAGGTGGAAGTGGCTGGGGGTTAGTGGCAGCTCAGGAAGTATTTCTCTGGAAATTGTTGGATTTGATGTCCAGATATGTTAAGTGTTTTGTAAGCCCTGTGTAATTTAACAGAAGGGAAAGCCAAACTCTTTCACTGGATATTTCCTTCAACAGAAGATTTGTTTTGGGAGTCCGGGCCAGGTGACAATGATGGCACTAAGCTTGTTTTCCCAATTGAAGTCAAAACATTTGCTGAGGAATCCCATAAATTGGCCAGATGAAAGTAACTAGGAAAGAGACATGAGAAAGGTGAGGTGACCATACAATTCTGAGAGATGGAGAAAAGCACACTGTAAAGGTGGGGGAGGCAGACAGGGTGCAGGAATGTTTTGGCCAGTCAGCATTCGGCACCCATTTGTTTTTCAGAGGAGACTTATTAGTCGCCTGCTATGTGGGAGGCGTAGTTCATAGTTCATAGTTCAGTACTGAGGATAAAAGAGTGAACAAGACTGGCCAAATTCCTGCCCTCATGGAGCTCACACCATTTTTCAAGTCACATATCCCACATCCCTTCTTCTTAATGTCACTTAGTGTCCCATCTTTATAACACAGCCAACATTCCTATTTTTGATCCATGTTTACATTTTCACATTAGCTATGGTGGGACTCTAGATTTTGGTCTCTTCAAAAGCCTGAAAAATTCAGAGACCCTAATATGATCATTATCATCACCAAGGTTCACAAGGTCTGTATGGTAGGGAGTATACTCTTCCATGAGCAATAGTATTTTAGGTTCTGTATACAGGAAAGTTAGAATGTATCAAGAAATTCATTGTCTTCCTTCACTATGAGTGGCGTTGTCAGGTGCTTCACACTAAATCTTCACACACTATGATTGCTAAATTTAACTAAGAAATCTTCTTGGAGTAGTAATCCTTTCCAGTCTTTGAGCTATGTCTGTACTGGAGGTCTTGTTTCATAGTATCCCAGTGAGGCCACATTCATATGGTAGGTGATAAGTTCATCTTAAATGCAGAAGCACTTTTGCCTGTTAGAAAGAACAATAGAATTTCCCTCAAGAATGGGTGTAATTATTAGTTTGTGTGATAGAATCTTTGTTCAGTTCATTTTCTTTATCAAGGAAGAACATGAACAGAAATGATAGTCTGTGACTGCTGAGAAGCTTCTGTAAATTTCCATTGTTTACATCTGTAGAGGTGAATTTCTCCAGACAGTGCTATTAATTATCATTTCATGGGTAAGTATCTGCAACCATAGGGGCGATAGTAAATTACTTAAATAATTCACCCACTGGGCAATAATAATAGATGTGGTTATTTTTTTCTGGGAATTCATTTTATTTTTCCCTTTAGTATTTCTACCTTATTCAAATTACTTTAAACTAGAGTGCCAATAACAAAATTCTACCCTGTCTGCTTAATCTAATATACCCACAAGGCCAAAATGTCAGCTAAATGAGGGCTCATGGTGTTGGCACATTTCTTTTTATAGGGGTTGAGGTCTTGAGGTTGTTTGGAATTCATTCTTTATGCATTGCCATTGCCTTACAAGAGAAACCAGTGCCAGCCTTTGCATTGCATGCCCCATTCCTGATCCTGGGCTTTCTCATACACAGCATTGCTCATTTCCTCCTGGAACTGTGCCCACTCCCCTCCAGCCCTGTACCCAGATTCTTTCTTGCCCTCCTTTAAGGGTTTCTTTTATAGATATTTTTCCAAAGAAATGCTACCAGTGCTTTACTGGAGAGCAGAGATTTGGGCCCAACTCATAGAAAAGAGCAGACAGTGATGGTTTACCAGTGCTGACAAGAAGAACCACAGACCCAGAGCCCTCTGGGCCCTGTTGACTAAGCAGGGGCAGGAAATTAAGGTACTATTTTTTGGCTTTATCTCTTTGCTAGTGATAGACTAGTCCTACTCATTGACTGGGCAGAGGGAAGCTCAAAATTTCTGGATAGTGTTGGATTCCTGGACTGGTTGGGTATAGCTCCCACAACAGATTCCCAAGCAAAGTCATGTGGTGGGATGAAGGCATAGTCTCTGCCTCTGTCTCCTTGCTATCCTGCTTGGCATAGTGTCTGCACATGGAGAGCCCTCACTGAGTATTTCCAAACCTTTTACTAGTTAAGGTTTTTTCCATGTCTCTTTTCTACCCCACACAGTCCTTGGGATTGCCAGAATCTGTCCATCCATTCAGTAAGAACACACATCTGTTAAGTCACCAACACTTTGATGTTTAAGAGGTTCTCTCTTCCTTTCTGGACCTTTTATTTTGTTGTGGTTTCAAAGAGAAAATAAAATTTTAAGCATACAAGAATGTCTGTTCTAAAAACAATGATCAAATAACTTTTACAGGGGCCAAACTCTTGAATTCTCTATCAATGCATCTTTCTTTGCAGGAAACATTGGTGGTATGGCACATATTTTTCATTATGTTGGGTACACAACAGCTATTTCCCCAGGTTTCTCTTTTTAATAGAATTCTCATACTTCCACATGTGACCCTGTATTTTAGGCAAGCTGGAGCCATACTCATGACCAAAAGGTGATTAGTCTTGAATAACTTAAATTGATCATGATGATTGTATTACCCTTACCAGTGATTAGCTTAAAAAAGGATATGGGAGAACAATTATGATCAATAGATATACATGAAATTTTTCTGAGAAGGGAGAGGCCTGGTTTACAAAGAAATGGCAATTTCATTATGGCATTCATATTTTGGTGTGTGAAGGTCTTATGGTTTGGGCTGTTGGTACCATCTTTTGACAATAAAGAGACAAACTGGGGGACAAAAGCCAACACTTTAAGAATAGCAAGGGCAGAACTATGAAAAGAATATTGTCCTTGATGATTTTCACCTCTAAATTAACTGACCCTGGACCTGCCCAATACCTCAGACTCCTCCTCCTTTGAGACATTATGCCCTTTATCTTAGCTTGAGTTAAGACTTTTGTTAAAGTAAAACAAACAAAAACAGACATTATAAAGCCAGCACTGACCAGAGATTACTGTGCAAAGTCTCAAAATGAGGCAAGGGTGTGTCAATTTAAAGTTTAAAATGGCAAACAGCCCACAGATGTCTGATGCATTCATTTTCCTGTAGAGACCAGATCAAGTCTTTCAGTGAGTTGCCCTTTTCCCTGAATTCTGTGAGGGTGAGTACTTCCAAATTTGAACTCTCTTTGGAAATTTAAGATTGTGTGCATGTGAAAATTTAAGCCCTGAGAACCAAGAGATTTCTCCCAGACTTCTAAAGTCACAATCTGTTGAGGATCTCTCTCCTCTGCCATGTCTGTACTGCCAAGAGGAGGGAGACATGGAAAGCTGAGGGAGAAGTTGCCATTTCTCTCTATCCCTCATCCCAATGGCCACCAAGGTGTCATCAGCCCTAGACTGTCAGCTTGTAGCCTTACTTGTTTTTTTGTTTTGTTTTGTTTTTGTTTTTGTTTTTTTGGTACCGGGGATTGAACTCAGGACCTTCAGCTTGCGAGGCAGGCGGCGGAACCACTGAGCTAAATCCTTGGCTGTGGCCTTACTTGTATGTCAACATGCAAGCCTTTCTTTGGGGAGAAATATTGTTCTCTTTGACAAATTTCCTCTAAAATGGTCTCACTGTGTTTGCAATTTTTATCACAACTGGAAAGAAAACTGATGGTTTCACACACTATTTGGACTTTACTATGTACCTTCTCCATATAAATTCTTTTCAGTGTCATTCATTAGTTGTAAGTGGGATAAGAGTAACTGTCCTTTCCTTCCCAGGTAAACCTTTGTTAAACACAAGAAAACCAGGACCTCAGGTGAAAGAGTAGGTTTATGAGCCTCCAGGTGGACTTGCCCTCCTGGAGCTGGAGAATGAAATCAGTGTATCTGGTATCAAATATCTGTAAAGGCATTCTAAAGAAAACAATCTCTAGTTAAGCAATCTGATGGGCTTTACCAAAGGGGATATTAGTTCTGGAAGAGGGTAATTCTGTAGTTCTAAGGAGCTATGCTGAGACACTGAGAAGTCATGGTTTTCTGAGCACTAATGATACCTTTTGATTTGTCCCTTACATAAATACAGTCCAGACCAAGAAACAATTGTTCAGCTCTGAGTTTCAAAATGGAGTTCTTAAGTTTGTAGAAGTACTGTAATCTAAAAGCCAAAGTGTTTTTCATTTTTTATTTACCAGAGTTGGGCTTTGTTGGAAGAGAATTACTGCTGGAATTCCAAAATCTATCCTTTTCTGTCAAGAGAACTTATTACACAGAGTTGTCACACTAAAGTCAAAGTTTAATGTGACCCAAGCATGAGAAAGCATGTTGACCTAAGTGCAGGTCTTTGGTTTATCTAAATATATAAAACCCTTCTCTGGGCAGATGAAGGAGTAGAAGTGGATGGGAAGAAGAATGAAAATTGAGGTGCTGCTGTTAAGCCTTGCTTCCTATCAACCACATAATCTAGCACACCCAGTGTGAAACTCTTAATGGTGAAACTAAAAACCATGTTAAATGGTCAATGCTAGATTCAGATGTTTAACAAATATTTATTGAGTGCCTTTGAAGTGACTGGCACTGTTCTAGGGATGTATCTGTGCTTGAGATGTATCAGTGAACAAAACAGAGATGCTGTTCTGCGGAGGAGCTTACAATCTAACTTGGGAGTACATAAGTAACCAATAAAGATAATAAAGTAGTCATTGGTGTGACCTGGTGAGAAAAAGTAAAAGTAGGAGGAA